TACTCGCTGGTCTACGGAACCGATGCGGTCATACCCGTCGAGGTCGGCGAACCAAGCCTAAGATATTCACACACCAGTGGAACAGAAAACGACACAAACATGCTCCAAGACCTCGACGAAGCTGAAGAAAGGAGAGAAATGGCCCATATCAGAATGGTGGCCCAAAAGCAACAAGTCGAAAGATACTACAACAAGAGGACCAAAATAAGACCACTCAAGGTGGGAGACTATGTCCTTAAAGCCAAGACATTGNGCAAAGCTCCTCCATCAGAGGATAGATTGGAAGATTGTAACCGATCAAGAACGGGTACTCATAGAACGTGCAATATCCAGGCCGGTGCACATTGGCATAGTCCGTCCCGGCCGGAACCATTTCCACGTGGTCCGGAATATGGTGCGTCTCTCGAAGGTCATCTAAATGAGATTGTAATAAAACGCTGTGCTCCCAGGGAAGGTCAGGGCTTTTAGTTGGAAAATCCCTGCGAATATGCATCTCTTTCGGAAGGACGTTGTCTACGCTGAGAGGAACAAGGGCCTTCTCCGCCTTTTCCCCTTCACCACCGGAAGATGGCGGAACCCTAGACGAGGCATTATCTTTGGCCTTTTGTTAATGACGTCATTCCAAAAAGGAAGCCGCGCGTCAGTGGCTCAACAACGTCATATTTTCCACTCCATTCCTATTGCCGCCCCGAGTCGAGGTCAAATTCTCCTAAGCCGAGGTTCACGTTTCCGCCCATCGAAGACGCCCTCTGAATGCGTCTCCAACGAGCGGAGGGACTAACTGTATAAGGTCAAATTTGACCCTCAGCATCTCTACGTCAGTAGGTACGCCCAATAAGTGTACGCCTGCCAACGTAACGGGTACGACTCGGTCGTGGGGGCAAAAGCGACATCGTTTAGGACTCAATGTCTTCACTAGGAAGACGTTACCTATCTTTGTAACTTTTTTGATTCTTTCGAGGAAGGTCTCCTATTATATAAAGGAGACCTTCACATTGTAAAAAGGGCATCTGATCTAATACAATTCTCTCATTTTTCTGGCTTTCTCTCTCTATCTCTACTTCAAACGAACGTATCTTATTGAGTTCATACTGTCTCTTTGCAATACTAGATCTACAACAATATTATCATCTTTGCATCTCTAGGATTATTATATTTGATTACGATTTACCCTTTTTCTACTTTTGATTGTTTTTTAGCTTACAAAGTATATTGTTAACTTTTGAGCCAAACACTGTCTTTTGGAATGGACATTCTTTATTCTTAATCTTTCACATAAATATATGTATTTATATTTTAAGATGTCTATTCAATAGATACGAATTGTTAATTTAGACCCCAAAAACTTAAAAGGAATAACAAATTCGAACTCATAAATTTCAAATCGCACGTTACTTCTATAATTGCACGAGTGAAGTATACAAAATCTTAGCTAAATTGTGTCGAATGGGTGCAATTGATTAACGTTTTCTTATGATCATGTTCAATTTTCAAGAATTGGCCAACTGGGATCCAACCATGCATGAAATGCGCAAAAATGTTAGTATTAATACACTAAATTCTTTCCTGGATCTGATCAAGCATGATTAGTATAGTGCATCAGAAAAATAAGAAAAGAGAATGAAGAGAAAAAAATGGTAAAGGATGTAACTAAATCCCTTAATTGAAGGCACTAATAATGGATTAGGAGCCTTTTAAGGTGGAATGTATATATTTTGTAAACAAACTTATGTAGGTAAGGTAATTTACCAAACATGAATATTTAGGGTAATGAAATTTCTAATAGTGTATAGGAATAAAAAAATCCCTTTTGAGAATTGTTCTATGAGCCCATTTGGATTAGTTGGAAAAAAGTAGCTTTTAAGTGCTGAAAAGCACAGGTGCTTAAAAGCAGCTTTTAAGTGTTGAAACTTGTTTTATAAATAAACAGTTACATGTTTGGATAAAAGTGTTGAAGCTTAAAAAAAACTTTTGAAGTGTTTGGTAAACAAGTGCTCGTAAGAACTTTTTTTTATTAAAAAGACAAAAATATCCTTAAAGTTGTTAACATTATAAAGGAACTGATTACTATAATATATTTAATTCATAATTAATACAAATAAAAAATAATTTATATTTTAATTTAATTTCAATTTAAATGATTACTTAAGATAGCTTTTACAAATATAATTCTTGAACGCTCATTTTTAGCTTGTACAGAACAGGAAAGAAAAATAATTTGTTCTTCTAACTAATAAAGATTCAAAATATAAAATCAATGCATCAAATTTCCAGAACACTGGTTTCTCAAATTCTATAGAAAGTTAGGTCATTACATGCATATTTCAAGAGAACGAAACAAAATAACATTTCTCAATTGGAATGTAAAATAATAAATATTAGTGTTTTAAAAGATTCATACAACTACAAGTATCAAGCTTCACAAATTTCATTAGCAATCAAATCGCGAAGACCCATCCAAACAAGATCACTTTGCTCTTCCACATTTTTCGCATTTATATTGTTATTAGCTCTCAAAGATGTACTAGCATCAAGATCAACAGATGGAACATATCTCTCATTTTCAGTTGCTCGGAATGCATCATCCATATTGCATTTCTTACTTGTCCTCAGTAATTAACATCTGCAAAATATGTATCCCATAAAAGAAAAAGAAAAAAAGAAGCAAAGACTCATTCAAGTTCTCTTTAGCTAGTAGTCTCTGGTGACCTCTCTAGAATTTGATCCTCTTCCCTTGCACTCTGCAGACATAATAAAAAGATAAAAAATAGTACAAATAGAAAAATAAAGAAACAAAAGAGAATTCACATTTGAGCTAGTGCAGGATCGATCTATAGCGAGTGCAAAAATGTACTGGCCATGCAATGGTATAACAAGATGAATATATATCTCTGTTATACTGTACCAAAAGAAATAAAAAGAAGTTTACAAACATAGAAACCGTATGATTAAACTTACTTGGAATTGAAATTCAACAGGAAGATAACTTACTGGACTGAAGAGGCTTTCAAATTGGAGCTGATGTTGGGGAGAGTTATGGAAAAAGAGGAAGAAAAACGCAGAGGCGCTGTGAACAATGGAGAAAAGAAAGACACCGTATGTTTTAGGATTTTCTACTGGGGGTAATTTCGAGATTAAGAAAAATTATAAGGGATAAGAACGTAATATCTTTGGTCAAAGCAATATGACTATTAAGCTAATTTCGAAAAAATTGGGTTTACCCAGCTTGTTGGTTTTGGCTTTTTTAAAAGTAGATTTTAACTTTTTTTAAGCCCCTTTTTTTGGTTGCCAAACACTTTCAAAAGTTAAAAAGTGTTTAAAAGCTGGTTTGACCAACTTATAAAAGCCCATCCAAACAGGCTCTATAACATGTTTGCCTAAGATTTTTTTGGCCAAAAGTAGTTTTTTTTTTGCCAAATGTGATTTTTTTAATTTATTTAAAATTAAGGTGTTTGGACAAGATTTTCAAAGTAAAAAAAGTACTCATCAAAAGTACTTTTTAAAAAATTACTTTTTAGAAAATACACTTAGAGCTTGTTTGGCCAAACTTCTAGGAGCTAAAAAGAAGTACTTTGTAGAAAACTAAGGTTTTTGACCGAGATAAAAATGTACTTTTGAGCAGAAATAATTTTTATGCTTTTGGGAAGAAGCTACAAATTCTAGCTACTTCAAATAAGCAAAAGCAGAAAATTAATTTATTTAAGACAAAACAACTTTAAATTTTTTTATATTTTTCAAATTATCTCCCATTAATTTAACGTTTTCTCCTTTATCTTTTCCTTTTTGTTTTTTATTTTTGCTACACCTTTTTTTCTCTTTTTTATTTCAATCATATTTTTATTCTCTTTCTCCCATTCCTAAGAGCAAACTTTAAATTTATATTGAATGGTATGTTTCGATATATTTAAATTATCATATAAATAATAAGGAATATCAGATACTCAATATTATTGCTTTGGAATAACTATAGTTTATCTTGATTGGAATTTTAATTTATTCTTTACTTTATGTTTATATTTTAATTGAATTTTTATAATAAACATTTAATTTGTTTAAAATAATACTAATTATAAACTAAACCTTTAATGTCATTTTTTTGTAATTTGATACTCAAAATTACTTTTTTTTTTAAAAATGGCCAAACACAATGAGTTTGCAAAAAGCACTACTCAAATGAATTGGCCGAACACAAATTTCAGAAAATATTTTTGAACAAAAGTACTTTTCAAAAATAAGCAGTTTTTTTTTCCAGCTTGGCCAAACGGGTTCTTATAAGTACTTTTTAAAAGTATGATCAAATACTAATTGCTATCCAAAGGTGTTTTTCCAATTGATCATCCAGACACAAACTGTTTCTCACAAAAAAATAAAAAGTATTTTTGAGAAAAATACTTTTTAAAATAAACTGATCGTAGAAGCTTGGTCAAACATTAGAGTGGTTTAGTTGCGAACAAGTAAAAAAAAAAGATTATTTCGTAACTATATATTTTCTTGTATATGTTTGATTTATTAGATTAAAAATAGAATATACATGCTATAATATAAGGTGTGCTTGACTAAATACTAGATAAATTTGAATAAATTTCATATTTAATTTTAATCTTAGCTTTATTCAAAATACTTTGAGAGAAAACATTGGAGAACTAATTATTTTATCTCCAGATTAGTCAATTTCACAATTATTATTCCAAATCTAGAAAACATTAATACCATAACTATAACATAAATAATATCAAAGTTCATTATCAAATTCGTAAATTTAGCCGTTCACCATTTATTTCACAAAACGCAAACAAATTCACTAATTGTGATATAAATAACTTTGGAATTACTTGAAAGAAAAAAATTCAATAAATATAAAATAAATGATAGCACATTTTATCTAAAATTATTATCCTTTCCCTTATCAAACCACGTGAGTATCAACAGGCTTTTTCAATGCTCATTGACCCGTCTATTTGAGTATTAAAATTGGATTAGTTACCTCCTATTTATTTATTTTAAATAAATTTCATTTTTAAAAAATTCCCACTGTCAGAGGCTAATCAGAAAGTACTAGGAGAAAACACAGACGACAAAACCCTAAACACAGAGAAATGCCGAAGCCAAAACGGTTGGTATGGAGAATCAAGCAGCAAAATCAGAAAGCGTCAACCTCTTCCTCCAAACCACCGCCGCCGCCGTCGCCGCCGTGGGTAGAGCTCCCTCGAGAAATCACGGCGGACATCCTTCTCCGGTTGGGAGCGATAGAGATATTGCAAAATGCACAGAGAGTCTGTAGTACGTGGTGGAATGTGTGCCATGACCCTATCATGTGGCGGGACATTGACATGGGAAACGACATTGATGTGGACATAGATGATACTGACTTGGACTGGATGTGCCGCGTCGCTGTGAATCGCAGCCAGGGTCAGTTGCTCAAAATTAACATCGAGCATTTTGGAAATAACGATTTGCTCGAATACATAGCGGAGAGGTATGAAATGGAACTGAAAATTTATCCTTTCCAGTATTTAAAATTTATTTAATACCTTTTGCAAGCATTTTGGAATATAGCAGGAGTATTGAAATGTGTAGGAGTTTGTAGAGACATGGTTGTAATGTGTTTTAGATAAATTATAAATTTTGTTTTGAAACAGGACAATATTCTCTCATAAACCTATTAATCAACTTGGCCTCAACTCACCCAACTATCTATTGTTGTCATATAAACCATATTAAGTAAATTTTTCAACTTCACGAGAATGTTGCTGCACTGACATGCTTATTGGTGGAAGATGTTGAGACTTCAAAAGGATCTGCCTTTCAATTTTTTGTTTTGAGGTACAAATCATTCCTCATCGAAATTTGATTTATGTGGGGTATATCTTTTTCAAGCCTTGGAGCCTTGGAGCAACGGTAAAGTTGTCTATGTATGAACTATAGGTCACGGGGTTGCCTACATCATTACCCCTTGGGCTGCGGCCTTTCCCCGAACCCTGCATTAATGCGGGATTTTTCGTGCACCAGGCTACCCTTTTATATCTTTTTCATGCCAAATTTTGTTATGTGCTTCTGTTTGGAGTTGGTGAACAATTTTGACTTAAGATGTGATAGAAGTTGGTTATGTTGCTTATGTCTCAGCTTTTGAGTATAAAGTGCTCAATGTTAGAAACAACTCTTTTTCTTTACTGTTGCACAATGGCTTTTTGACTTGCTGAAATATGTATATTTAGTTGAAATAAGATTGTCTTTTCAGCTTTTGTAGATATTGTGCTAAATTTTGTGCATATAAAGAGCACCCTCTGTCGCTGCAGCACCATGAGGAACCAGACACATTAGTTCTTCTAACATGTTTATAATCTTCTGTAACTCTTTTGTGACGTAATATGACTTCTGTACTGCTAAATGGTCAAGCTTTGGCTAAAATGTATCTTTCACCTGCCTTTTGGGCATTACCATGCGGAGTCATCTATTTTTATATGACACCGCTTCTGGAGGTGGCACCATGAGACACCAGATATATCTTTTTATCAAAAATAAATAAAGCAAGGGTGGGAAAAAAACTTCATGTTAGGGAATATGTTATATGTAATTTCCATGGAAAATTCAATGAGTAAGCAAATATTGTCTAGATTAGTTGACCTAGCAAAAATTTAACATAAGATGTACTATGTGTGTGCTAAGTTCATGGATGACATGATTCATGGAAAATTTCAGATACCATTGAATATGCATTGGGGATATATTATGTTTAATTTACATGGAAAACTCAATGTAAGCAAATGTTGTCTAGATTAGTTGACCTGGTAAAAATCTAACATAAGTCGTTCTATGTGTATACTAACATGTCTTTTGATCTAATCTTGTGCGCTTCTGAACAGATCAAGTCAGCTAAGGCATCTAAGACTTGTCAGCTGTGAAGCAATTTCAGATGGAGGTTTGGCTGCAGTTGCCAAGAACTTCCCGTTGTTGGAGGAGTTGCACATTTACTTAGCTGTTATTAGTAAAGTTGATATAGAGGCTATCGGTCGTTCTTGCTCGCAGCTCAAGTCATTTACATTGAACAACAGTGGATTTGGAGGATTCAGAGGATTTAGAAGTTTACATTTTAATGTCAATGATGAAGCTCTGGCTATTGCAGGAAATATGCCTGAATTGCGACGCCTTGCACTTTTTGGGAATAACTTGACAAATGAAGGCCTGTGTGCCATTCTTGATGGCTGCCCGCGGCTTGAATCACTTGACTTGCGCCACTGTTATAGTATTGATCTTGAAGGGGATTTAGGAAAGAGATGTCGACAACAGATTAAGGATCTGAAGTGCCCTCGTGATTCCACTTCTGGTTATGAATTTAGAGCTCAGATTTGTGATTATAGTTCTTCCAATGATGAATACCCATCTGGGTTGTCTGAAGCTGGCCTTTCAGACTATTTGTTTGATTATGATGACTTTGATTACGACGACTTCACTAACCCATTTAGCAGCGAGTATCTTGGTGAGGATGGTTTCTTTTTCTGAGATCGTTTGCTACCTGAAATTTGTTAATGGTAAGAACATAGTTCTATCGAATTCTTTTTCAAATTACTAGCATTGTTTCGCCCTTCTTTCCTTCTCGTCCCCCGGGAAAGGTGGAGGAGAGGGGTAAGCCTCAGCTAAAAACAATGTCTCAGGCTCATGGCGGTGCAGCTCAGCAAGAGGGCATGCTCAGTTCCACCTGGTCTAGTGGAAATCTTTGGGAGGAACGACAGAATTAGCTATTTGCTAGAAAATCAACGGTTCCATTGTTGTTTTGCAGGTTCTTGTTTGCTGGGTAAACTGCTATTCGATTGTTCAGCAGGTTCTAGGTTACCGTTTGAATTGCCATTCGTGTCATATTTTGCTGTTCTCATAGCAGTTGAAGTGTCCGGGTTTGCACATTGTTGGCAGCAGATTGTAATTGTCGGGGTTTGCACAGCAGTTGAAGTGTCCGGGTTTGCACATTGTTGGCAGCAGATTGTAATTGTAGTTATTAAGGCAGGCCTAGCCTTAGCACTTGGCTGCTCTTAGAACTACCAGATAATTACTGTGTTCTCTCCTTTTTTGTTTGGTTCATAACCCGTTCACATAAGTCGAATTTGGTAAATTTCTTAATCTCTTGTTTGAATGAATATAAAAGCCACTTCAAATTATATTCCGTGTAATTTCTTTTTCTTTTGGTTTTTGGTTTTTATCAACACGCCCATACTTGTCCACCTTAACAAATGACAGCTAAGGCGCTTGAAAGGATTTTGAATTATATATATTCAAACTAAGAGTTCAACAAATGAGTGGGAGGCATACCAGTCAAGCAAACATATCAGAAGTGCCTTCACCAGGCGAAAGTAGGGGCTCATTACTGAAGCAAAGGAGTGGTTTGTTGCACGGGAAGATTATTTCTGGGCAGTGGAGAAACGCTATCTCCTTCGGAAGGGAATTGTCATGGTGGAAGGGATGGCAATGGGGCTGGACGGTTGCGGGACGGGTTCTGCCTCAACCCGCAAATACTTCAATCCGCATCCACCTCCACCTGTCCCACATCTACACCCGCGTCCCCCCCC